GCCGCGGGGGAGGCGGGGCCCGCGGGCGGCCGGGCAGGGCCGGGGCGGTGCCGAGCCGGGGCCGGAGCGGGGCGAGCGGGCCGACTGGCGGGCCGGGCCGGGGGCTCGGGCCGGCGGGAAGATGGCGAACGTGGGGCTGCAGTTCCAGGCGAGCGCCGGGGACGCGGACCCGCAGAGCCGGCCCCTGCTGCTGCTCGGGCAGCTGCACCACCTGCTCCGCGTGCCCTGGAGTCATGTCCGCGGGAAGCTGCAGCCCCGGGTCACCGAGGAGGTGAGGGGCCGCCGGCCGCCAGCGCCCCCGCGCGCGGAAACCCAGGCCCGGCCGGCGAGGGTAGTTCAGGCTCCGGCGGCCGCTGAGGCCCCGCCTCGCCGCCCGCAGCCCCGCCGCCCGCCGGGCCTCCCAACGGCCGGCTGCCGTGGCCTGCCATTCCCTTCCGGAACAGCCACCAGGCCCGTCCAAGCCCGCAGGGGCCCAGCGCCGCGACACCTGCCACAGGGTGGGGGAAATGCGGTCCGAAGGGCTGCCCTCCCTGGGCTGCGGGTGGGCCCTGCCTTGAAGCGGGCCTGCCTTCTAGAAATCCCGGTGGCTGTTCTCTCCCTGCCTTCCCTGGGGCATCTGGCCCCCCTGCCCCTCTGCCATGGAAACTGGCTAAGCCCCAACAAGTTGGGGTTTTCAAGTGTTTTAAGCAAAGTGGCCCCAACCTGGCCTTTTCAGTCCTGAGCCTTAATCCCACACTGCTGGAAGCGTGCCAGCAGAGAGAGACACGGAGCTCCAGCAACATGATTTCTTAATTGCAGATCAGGGGTGCCTCAAGTGCCCTTTTAGAGGCGCAGGCGCAGCTGCAGGCAGGGTGCTGCTCCTGGCATGTGGCAGGCTGTTTGAAGTCTGTCTCTGGTCTCTCCCTTCTCATCTAGCTCTGGCAGGCCGCCCTGAGCACGCTCAACCCCAACCCCACAGACAGCTGTCCCCTCTACCTGAACTACGCCACTGTGGCTGCCCTGCCCTCCAGGGTGAGCCGGCACAACAGCCCCTCGGCCGCCCACTTCATCACCCGGCTTGTGCGGACTTGCCTGCCCCCCGGAGCCCATCGGTGCATTCTGGTGAGTGCTGCTGAGAGAGGACGGCCGCGGGCCTGTGTGTGCTGACAGCCACAGGCTGCCAGTCACAAGCAGCGCTGAGCTTGTGTCCCAGCGACCTCACAGCCCTCCACGCACTGCAGAGCTCTCTGGCCCATAGCACCTGGACAGTATGATCCCTGCGCTACGGAGAAACTGTCCAGAGAAACAAAGCGATTTGCCCCAGATCAGTTTTGGTGGCAAATCGGAGACTCAAACTTAGGTTTCTTGAGGCCAAATCCAGTGTCTGTCCCTCTGTGCCCCAACTGTTACGGCAGTTGATGGTAACCAAGGTGTTCTTCCTCGGGTAGGACAGACAGTGCCACGGTATTCTGTGGTTCCGGGGAGGCACCCGGGGGATGGGCTGACCTCTGCTGTTGGAACATCTCCGTCTAGATGTTCCCACCACAGAGTTAACCAAGTTTGGGAGGCGTTAAGGGCAGGACCCCAGGTACTTCCTGGTGCAGCTCCCTGTCACCCCTCAGCTGTGGCTCTGCCTCTTTCCCTGTGTTGCAGATGGTCTGTGAGCAGGCCGACGTCTTCGCCTCCGCCTGTGCCCTGGCCCGGGCCTTCCCGCTGTTCACCCACCGCTCAGGTGCCTCACGCCGCACAGAGAAGAAGACCGTCACGGTGGAGTTCTTCCTGGTGGGACAAGACAACGGGCCGGTGGAAGTGTCCACGTTGCAAGTGGGTGTCTGAAAGTGCAGACTGTGTCCCTGGGCCCTCATGAGCTCGGGCGGCTGGAAGGGAAGCTCTGGCTCCTCTTTCCCCAGGGGAGAACGGCAGGGCTGCTTCAGTTCCCGTGAAGCCAAGGCTCCTCTCCCTCAGGGCGTCTTGATTCCAGGATTCTGTTCTGTGCAGCCAGTGTTTATTGAGCACCTACTGAGTGCCAGACACGTTCATGTTTTTATACTAACAATCCTGTCCGTGTATATATCACATCACCCTTTCCAGGGAGCACTTTTACATATGTTATATCACTTGCTCCTAAAATCAAGCAAGGTTGGAAGTGATTTCCAACCTCGCAGTCCTTGGATGGGCCTGACATCGGGCTCCCTTCCCACAGCAGCCAGCCCAGACTCTACCGTGCCCCCCTCCACCCACCACGCAGCCCCACACGGCCATCCTTTCTCCTGCTTCTGCCCACAGGAGCGCTCCCCGCTAGGGGCTCGGTCCGCACCTCACTGCTTCCTGTCTGCGGCCTGCGGCCATCCCCTCTCCACCTGGATTCCTTCCTTAGAAGGAAAGAACACGCTCCCATCTCTACCATCTTGAAACAGCACCTCTTCTTTCTACATCTCCAAGCTTTTAAAAACATAGTCTAATTGCTTTGCCTTTCTTAATTCTCTTTTCCTCTTTAACCCACCAAAGCCTAGTTTTTGCCCTCTTCCTGACGTTGTTTTTTTAAGGGCCCTATCTAATGGACCGAGACATTTGCCATCCCTCTTCCCACTTCTCCCTGGCCCGCTCACTGCCACTCAGTCCCTTGTGGCTCACTAGCACCCTGAGCTCACGCAGTCCTCTCTGGGTGTCTCTGCCACCTCCAGGCTCCATCCTGCAGTGGGACAGTGACGACTGTGCCTCCCCTCTGTCTCTAGTGAGTTCCCTCTGAGTTCCAGGCCCTCCAGCCACCAGATCCCATCTGGCAGCCCTTGTTCCCTCCCCTCCTCATGGCACTGTTTTCTGCAGTGAACTAACTGCTGTCCCTTGGACTTGCCAAGTTCATTCCTGCTCAGGTTCCCTCTGCCAGGGTCCTCTTTCTCCAGCCCTGCCTGGTGTCTGTCGGTTTCTGCCCACGTTCCTTCCCCAGGGAGGCCCCGCACTCCTGGCCAACACAGCCCTGCCACGTGCCAGCGCTGTGGCCGGCTGAGCGCCCAGCCCCACGGACATTTCATATCTCGTCGGCTCTTTCCCCAGCTGCCTCGGAGCCTGACCGCACCAGGGTCTGGTACCCCACGTGGCCCTTACGCAGCCTGTCTCCCCCTTCATCACTGTGGGAGCCTCCCCAGCTCCCAGGTTGGTCCCCTCTGAGTCCTGTGACCTCTCCTGGTCCTCTGGCGTGGCATTTAATTGGAAGGTGGTTGTAATTCGCTGCTGGACCTGAGTCCCTTGGGCATCTTTGGATTCCCGGGGTCTAGCATGGTGCCTAGCGCACAGTGGGTGCTCACATAAATGTGGACACAGTGGACGCATGATCCTCCTCTGGTGATGCGCTGCGTGGCTCTGCAGTGGTGGGGGCGCTGGAGCCGGCTCCCGCCTCCCACGTGAGTGCTCTCATGTCAGCTCCAACCTCGCTGGGGCCTGGGGTCGTCGAGGTGATACGTGGCCTCCTTGGAGTCCAGCCTTACATCACCGACACTCTTCACAGTCTCGTCGCGTCCCCTTGCACCCTCCCAGGCAGGAGATGAGCCCGCTGACAGGCGGCAGGGACTGCACATTTCATATCTGAGCTGTCAAGTTCCAGGGTTCTACCTCTGAGGCTTTGGGGTTTAATTACCTCAGGACAAGCAGAGGCTCTTGCCGAGATCAGATAGGGCGGGGGAGGCAGCCAGGCTGGCGGTATCGACCCACGCCTGCCCTCCCTGACATTACAAGACGAGAGCAGTGATGATAAACTCAGTGTCGTCCTGCACCCCCGAGACACCTGTGCTGCTTTCCTCTTTTTAATATCATCTCTTACAGTGAGTGAGGGAGGCCACCACACCGCCGGCCTTCTGCAGCCTCTGAGGCTTGGCGGTGGGCAGTGGGGAGCAAGGTGGGGCGGGGGTGCCCTCGGATACTGCTGAGAGCAAGGCTCCAGGGGCAGAACTGTGGCAAAGGAGAGTGACACGGCAGAGAACTTACAGGGCCAGAGCTGAAACAAAGGTGAACAGACGTCCCTCGCAGAGTCGCGCAGTGGGCAGCTCGTTTCCGGGCACGTGTGGTGACTGCTTTTGTGCGTGCGCCCTTCTCTGAGCCGCCTGCCAAGTGCCAGCTCTCAGGCCCCGCAAGCCCAGCGTGGTCCGTGTTTTCAGGTCCTGCATCCTTCCAGCTGCTGGGGTCATGTCAGCGCCACCAGGCAGGGCCCATCTCTGTGTCCTTCCCTCCCTCGCCCAGAGCAGAGCTGTGTCAGATCACAAGGAACACAATGAACTCAGTCGCCTGCCCTCATGGTGTCAGGACGGACTTGCATGAGGAGGGCACTGCCCCAATGGCCAGAGGGAAGGCGTCTGGGAGGGCAGCAGGTTCAAGGGCTTAGGATGTGAGTGCTTTTGCCTTGCTGGGAGGATCTGGCCTTTGAGAAGTGCCACAAAGGCTGGCCGGAATCTTGGCGGAAGGAGAAGGGTACGGGATCTGCAGAGGCTAGAGGTGGGCCAGCGCACACTCGGACTGGCATGACGGGGAGGGAGGAAGAGCAGGACACGAGGCTTGGAAAGGACCCCAAGTATGCGAGGGCAGGGCCTCAGGCTGCAGGGCTCCTCTGTAATTCTGGAGGTGCAGTGGGGTGGCCGTGTTGAACTTCCTTCTGCAGGGGAGAGGAGTGGGCGGCAAGCGTCTTGCTTCCCTCTCCCCACTGCCCCTCACTGCTCTGTCGGCAGCCCCGTGGCCTCCCCTGGGCGGGGCGTGTGCCTCTGATGCATTTGGGTTCCTGGGGGATGGACAAGTTGGGTTCCCCACCTGATCCCAGGACCCCAGCGACAGCCTTCTGTTTTTTTCCAGTGCTTAGCGAATGCCACAGAAGGTGTGCGGCTGGCGGCCCGCATCGTGGATACGCCCTGCAGTGAGATGAACACAGACACCTTCCTCGAGGTTCGTGGCCCTGTCATGCCAGGGGTGGGGCCAGGGTGGGGGGGTGTCATAGACCCTACGGAGAGCCAGAGGAAACCTGGGGGCCGTCTACACTCCCTGACCCGGCGCAGGGACCCAGGGGCTATGTCCAGTGAAGTTGTGCTGTCCCCCCAACTCCGAGAGGCCTCCGGAAGGGCGTGGGGAGGACAGGGCCCCCTCTTCGAGGCCCTTCAGCGGGACTGCAGCCACGAGCTGCAGGAAGTTGGAGAGCGCGGACGGCAAGCCAGCTCTCCTGGGTTTAATCATGCGGGACACTGAGAGTGTCGAAGCCGCTGCCTCCCGGACCGGCTCCTCTCCTGCCGCATTGGCCTCGCCTTGATTTAAGCGTCTTCACGTGTCCTTGTGGTGTTGTTTTTTCCATGAACACGTCCAGGAGATTAACAAAGTTGGAAAAGAGCTGGGGATTGTTCCGACCATCATCCGGGACGAGGAGCTGAAGGCGAGAGGATTTGGAGGTGGGTGGGGCTGCACCCCCAGGTCCCAGCCCCAGGGAGCTGCTGGGGGCGCTTGGGTGGCGGGGGTGGCGGGCCACGGGACACATCGTCCTAACCTTCCCCCTGCTGGTGACTGGGACGGGATCAGCCTGTGTCCAAGCCCGAGCCAGACCCTGGGAAGCAGAGCATCTCTAGGGAGAAAGGGGCAGTAGTCCAGATTCTGATGCAGATTCTGGAAGCTGCTAGATCCAAGTCCTTCCCCTGCCTAAAGCCTCTCCAGCCTGCTCACGTGCCACACACCCTCGTCCCTGGGCCAACCCTCAGGGCCTTCCTGTTCCTCGAGTACACAAGTTCACGTCTGTGTCAGGGCCTTCGTTCGGATGGGTCTATCTGGAATACTTTCCCCAAGATATTCTTATGGTGGGGACCATATTATCCAGATCGTCTCAGCTCAGATGTCACCTCCCCAGAGAGGCCTTCCCTGATTCCCCAAGCCCACCCTCCTCCACGGCCCAGGAGCTGGAGGGACAGATAAGTGACTCAGACTGGCGCAGGGAGGGTGGCTGTCCTAGTTACCTGTGGCTACAGAACAAATTACCCCAGAAGGGAGCAGCGGAAAGCAACAGTTGTACCATCTCACAGTGCCAGGGGCTCTGCCTGCCGTGGTCAGGTGCTCAGCGGGGACTGCAGTCATCTGAAGGCTCACCTGGGGCCGGCAACGTGCTTCCCGGAAGGCTCACCGGGGACCGCTGGCCGGTCGCAGGGCCTCGTGGACTGTTGGCCGGTGATTGCAGGTCCTTGTGGGGGCCTCTCCAAGGGCAGCTCCCAGCGCGGTAGCTGGCCACCCTCTGGGCAAGGGCTCTGAGCAAGAGTGAGAAAGAGTGAGCATGATGGAAACTCCCCTCTTTTGTAACCTAATCTCGGAAGTGGCGTCTCATCACTGCTACCATTTTCTTTTGGTTAGATGTGAAACACTAGGACTACACAAGGACACGGGCACCCAGAGATGGGGGTCCTGGGAAGCCATCTCAGCGGTGTCCACCACAGACACATATCCCACTTACAAATGGAGTGAGAGGTGGCCACTTGTGTCAGGGACAGCTTCACAGAGGAGGTGGCATTTGCAGTGGGTCTTGCAGGATGAGCAGGAGTTTGTTGGACAGCCATTATTAGCTGTCATCACAGTTGCTGTGATTGTTCAGCTCAGTTACTGGGGGACCTTGAGGCATGGACTCTGCCCCCAGGTAGTCCGCTATTTTCTTGAGAGATGGGCATTGTAAACCCACAAGTGAGACAACGGTGCAAAACACGCAGGCACAAGCTTGGGAAGGGTGGTGCAGTCCTGAGTGTGTGAAGGGCTTGGGAAGGGGGATGAGCGTGGGCTGGAGCGGCCTGGAAGCTTTATCCAGAGATCATCATTCTGCAATCCTGTTCTGTTCTTTCTGGAAATGATACAGTATTTTCTTTTCCTCAGTGGGTTTTCTTGCCTACCAATATTTTGCATAGAATTTGTTTGCAGTCCTAGACATTAGAACTAATTTGCATTCCCTGATCCCACACTGGCCAGGGGGCAGGAGGCTTGGGCGGCGCGGCTCTCCAGAAGTACCGCCAGCCAGCGCTGGGAGCTGGTGTTTCCAGGGGCCTTCGGGGAGTTCTTGCTCGGTTCAGCCCAGGCCTCACCAGCTCTCCCTGCGCTTTCCACAGGACTCTATGGAGTTGGCAAAGCTGCCCTCCACCCTCCAGCGCTGGCCGTCCTCAGCCACACCCCAGACGGAGCCACGCAGACCATCGCCTGGGTGGGCAAAGGCATTGTCTACGACACTGGGGGCCTCAGCATCAAAGGGAAGGTGAGGTGTCGGGCCAGCATGGGCAGGTCCCAGGGTGCGGAGGGGTCCAGGCCGGTTCAGCCAGCTCTCTCAGAGGTGCCTTTGGAAGGCAGCGAGGACTCTGGGACTTCTCAGTTGGGCCAGTTCCTATCCTGGGAAGGAGACCATTCCATGTAGGATGCCTGGATTTTGTGCCCACGCTTTACACTTGACCGTAGCCAAAAGGCCGAGAAGCGATATGTGCCCACACTTTAAACAGGAGTCTGGAAGCGCAAAATCTGCACAGGGGCCAGAGAAAAGCCGCAGAAATGATTAAAGGGATGGAAAACAGACTGGGGAGGCAGATTCAGAGTTTCAGAACCGGAGTGGCTTTGTCTGGAGGAGAGAAGGGCGAGGGGGTGCCCACGTCTCCGAATCTGCCCGAGGTCTCCATGGAGAGAATGCTCCGTGGGGTCCACACGTGACCCCAGCCAAAGCCAGAGCAATTGGGCCTCAGCACCAAAGCAAGTCACCTGGGCATGTCCCTTGGAGGCAGCCCTCGCAGCCTCTCCCGTGGCGTGGCTCCCCGTCCTCCATCCCAGGAGGATGAGCACTTGGGGAGTGCCAGTCGCAGCCGCGTCTGTCCCCCTCGACATGGCCTCTCCATCCGCTGCGCCATCTCCATCTGTGTATCCCACACTGTGCACGGGCCTGGGCTGGGGCATCCTGGGAAGGAGTGGACAGTGACATGCATGCCCAGGACTGCTGGGAGGACAGCAGGCGCCTCTGTCACAGTGGCTCACTGGTGTGTCCTTTTGGCCCAAATGGTGTTTTTAAAGTTTGAATTAGTTTCCAACATTTGGAAAGAGGAAGAAATCTCATAAAAGACTGGATTTCTGGTGAGATCTGGCGGCGCCGGCCCTAGGTGCTCAGCTGGCAGCATTCCACTGGAGCTGAGCTGGACCGCGCCGGGGCTGTAGCCTGCGGGCTCCAGTCTGCTGCAGGCCCCGCCACCCCCTCGCCTCCCTGACGTTGAGCCCCAGCATCAGCTGCTGCTTGGGGTGGGGATTATGCTGCTGTTTTTTGCACGTCCAGCATACCTACTATTAAATACCTGGAGTGGAGGATCATTTTTTCTTAATATCCCTCCTCTTCTAAACAATAGAATTATTTTCTGGACTAATCAGGAAATGAAACTAATAACAATAAGTGATTTAAAAAAAAAAACAAAACAACAAAGCACCAATAGTAAACATTCTCTTTTATTGAATTCCATACCATGATCATGCCACTAAAAAAATTAAAAAGAAGATACATGTTGCGGTACAAATAAAACAGTAATAGATTAACACTTTAAGTAGCATGTATATATATATATTTTTTTGATATTTTTTTTTAAATAGAAAAATACTTATGTCTCCATATTGGTCTATAGTGGTAGTGGATTGTGGCATTAAATTTTCTGTTTCAGGATCTTGGCTTCTGCATACTCGACGTTTACACATTTATGATCAGTAGGCAGAGAAGCCAGATTTGTCATTTGCCTTCACTCACAGTTGATTCCAGAACACTGTCTATTATTTTTTATTTCAAAGAGCTTCTATCATGTGAAGCAACTGATACACAAATGCTCAGGAAAGGTTTTTAACATAGGGTCATTTGGCAGAGATTCCTAAAAATCCCATTTCACAATAAATTCCAGAAATTGCAGTACTGACCATATGTTCAGTTCTGTGGGATCGATTCTTGCAGCCTTCAAATGTCTGTGGAGTGGAAACAGTTCAAACACAGTAACTCCAAGGGTTCGTGTAGAATGAGGGTCTCAGGGACTCATCTTCATATCACTGGGCTGCTGTGCCTGGGTCCGCCGTTCAGCACAGGAACGTGTGACGTCACAGGCTCGGAGTGTGCAGCTCGGCACCAGCGCCAACCCGGACGGTCCGAAACTGTCGGAACTGCTCTCAGAATGAACGCGGGCAGCTGGGTCTGCATGTGTCGGGGCACCTGCGTAATGAGCCATTGTTAACATCCATGTGGAATGATGTCGCTCGAAAGGATGAGCAATAAGGATAGGTGATTTCGAAGCCTTCATTTGTGTGATGAAAATGCAACAGTAGCCAAAGCAATTGTTTTAACTTCAACCAACGGCATTTTTTTCAGGGAGGAATATTTTGGCACTGACATCATGTAGAGCAGAGGTCCCCAACGTTTTTGGCGCCAGGGACCGGTTTCATGGAAGACAATTTTTCCACAGATGGTTGTGTGGGGATGGTTTCGAGATGATTCAAGGGCATTACATTTATCGTGCAGTCAGACCTCTCTGCTAGTGATGATCTGTATTTGCAGCCGCTCCCAGCGCCAGCATCACCGCCTCAGCTCCGCCTCAGACCATCAGACATTGGATTCCCATAAGGAGCCGCCACCTAGATCCCTCGCACGTGCAGGTTACAGTGGGGTTCGCTCCTATGAGACTCAAAGGCTGCTGCTGACCTGACAGGAGGCGGAGCTCGGGTGGTGATATCAGCGATGGGGTTCGCTCGCTCACCAGCACTGCTCTGTGGCCCAGGAGGGTGGGGACTGCGGGTTTGGAGACACAGGCACATGGTGGCTGTAATGAGCAAAGTGACTTTTAGTCAGTTCAACCACTGCACAGACAACGTGCTCCTTTTTGCTACCCGCTGTTGCTGTGGAGGCCGCCGAGCCCTGGCGGGCAGCGCCGTGCACTCTTTCCTCCTTGGGTCAGATGCTTGTTTTGGACATTGGCTTATTGGAGGGCCAGTGTGAGACAGGGTTTCCTGGGAGGCCCAGTTCACCTTCTGAAAATGACACAATAGCCCCAGCCTCCTCCTGGGGTCAGACTGGCCTGCAGGGACCCCGTGATAAACGGAATGGTGGCCAGGTGTCTCAGCACCAGCAGACTGTCCACGGTTTCTCATTGGAACTGTTCTACATCAACTTGGGACGAACCAGCAGGCCCTTCCTGAGCTGTTGCTGGTGCCAGGCACGGGGGTGGGCACCGAGGCTCTGCCAATTGACAGATCCCAGTCCTGACCCACAGGTGCTCACAGTCTCGCCCAAGGGCACGAAACTTCGTCACAGCAGGCATTCTCCCAAGTGGCTGCCTCGGGAGCAAATCGTACAGAAACTGTCACTTCCCAAAAAGCAAGCTCGATGGAGCCAGCAAAACTCCCAGTTTTGCAGGAAGAGTCACAGCTCCATTTCCAAAGATTTCAAAGGCAAACTGGGACTAGCAGGCCTCAAAGGCCTCACTCAGCACACCCTTTACACACTTGACAAGTACCGATCCCAAAGAGGCTTTGCGTATAGGGCGATACCTAGTGATACTGTACTGGAAATTAAAACTGAGAAATTTATAACACATTTATAATTCATTTAAATTACAACTTACAATATAAATCCATTGCATGTTACCATAAATAGTGTAATTTTATGAAAATAACTATATTTTCCAAAATGAAAAGAAAATTATTGAGAGTAGCATTGTACATTTTTGCAGATCCCATTAGTGTCTGACTTAATGGAAGATAGCTGGGATCTTGCGTTTGATTCTGCGTTTAGTCTATCGTGACATGTTGTTTCAGTTGAACTATATCAAGAAAATCTGACCTCGCACATTTTATAGTTGGAACAGGAAGAAGTCTGTTAGTACTCTGTTCGGATAACTATGAACATTCTTTGCTATTATATTATGCCAAAACTCGACAGATGGTAGTTTCTTAAAGGTTGCTTATAATGTGGAATCTAAAGCCACATAAGTGAACTTTTGTGCAGTAAAATCCACTGATCTATTCTGAACTTGGAACACACGACTTTGTAATGTCTTACATGGATCATTTGGAAAAATCGGTTCACAGAGTTACGCAAAACCTCCAAATTTTGACACATTATATAATATCAAACAATCATTTTCGCTGATATCACCATTCATCTGATCAGAAAAGTCATTGAGTATGAGGAAGCTGGCATGGTGGATACAAGTTTTCCAAAATTCTGATTTTTGCTTGAGAGCTCAAATGTACGCCATTGGCAATAAATAATGTCAGCTGTTTTCTGGAAGTGAGAAGCTCACTTTGTTCCTTTTCTAGGAAATTCCTGCCAGATACCTAAGTCCAAGTAACCATGATCTGTCTGTCAGTTGTTCTTTCCAGTAACTCTGGTGAGACTGGCCCAGGGAGCTCGGCGCTCACAGCCACCCCTGATCCCATCTGAGCGTGGGCGCTGGCCGCCCTGGCCCGGCAGAGGCAGCAGCGGTGCCCTAGGAACACCTTCCAGGTCCTCACACAGAATATCGCGAACGTCTTGTACTAAAAGGTTGAGATTTTTTAAATTTAATGTTACTGCTTCAGCAAGGAAATTCTTAAGTGAAGTCGACATGTTTTGTCTTCCTGGCAGGCGTGGAAACGACCACAGCGCCGCCCCGTTCACGCCGGTGCGGGGGCCTCGAGCATGGGTGCTAGTGTCAACCCAGTGGAAAGGAGATAACATCTTAATATTGCTGAGAAAATCGTTTCTTTGATAAAAACAGAAACAACGTCCGGGGGCTGGTGGAACCTCGCACGATGCGCGGAGCTCCATTTGCAAGTCCGGCGCTCGTGCCACCTGCAGCTGGGAGCTGGCAGCTGCGACAAGGGCCGGCGTTGAGAGCGGCCCGTTGTGCACATTGTCAGACTCCAGATCTGAGGCCCCGTTTTTCCATTTAAACAGTCCTGTGCTTTCTCGAACATTAGATCAGAAGAGATGGATCATTTTCACTTGACTTAATTATAAAAGCAGCTCAGTTTATACGTAAAAATACTTTCCACTAAAAGTCAGGGCTTGTGTAACATGATAAGGCTTCAAAAATCACTAAGTTTCAAACCCAAACCTTTACATCTGTGGACCTGTTGTTAATTTAAAATATGAACTTGCCGATTAGAGTTGGGAACCTATAAAATATAAAAATGTGTAACCTCTCAACTAGTTTATAGAAAGTAGCACTTCCATCTGCGGCAGGAGGGCGCCTCTGCGTGCGGCTATTTCTGGTGGCTCCTCTTTGGACCCGTCTGAAGCAGGATTTGGGAACCGAGGGCAGGAGGGCAGAGACGTGGGGGTGACGGGGTGTCCTCACCAGTGGCAGTGACGTTTGGGAAGAGTTTGCATCGGCCCTTGCCGTCCTGCAGTGCCACGACAAGGAGCTGAGAGAGCTGGGGCCGGTGGGTGAGGAAGCTAGGCCTTGTGCCACGCGTGTCTGGTGGCCAGGCCAGGTCTGCAGTGGGGCAGGGTCACAGTGGGCTTGTGGCAGTGGCGTGAGGGAAGGCAGAAGGGCCTGCGGGGGGGCGGCAGGAGCATCGCGTGGTGCAGAGAGGGTGGAGCGAGCGAGGGAGCCCTTCCAGAGGGGACGCAGGAGGCGGCAGAGGTGGAAGCAGAGATTAGCTCTTCGGAGGCTGGGCCGGGACCTCTACCCAGGTGGAGGTGGGAGAACAGGAGGTGGCCACAGTTTGGAGATGAGGCTTATGCTGTGCTGAGGGGTGGCCGCCCCCAGATGCTGCCGCCGGGAGGACTAGGAAGCCTCTGAGACTTGGGTGTGGCTGCAGAGGCCATTCGCGGGCAGCGTGAAGGGGCCAGGCCTGGAGTAGAGCCCTGGGGAGTCTTTCCTGGCACCGGCCTTTCCAGGTGACCCTGAGCAGGCCTCAGAGGTTCCCTGGATCTCGGTTTCTTCCGCACAAATGGGCAGAGAGGTAGATGGAGTCCCGCAGGCAGACACCAGGCTGACCTGGCAGCCGCACGACCTGGTCAAGGCGCCCACTCTCTGAGCATGGGGTGCTGTGGCCAGGTAAGAGCCCGGCCACGGCAGATTCCACCGCTCTGGGCGTCTGCCTGCTGTTTGGTAACCCCAGAGCTCCACTAAAACAAAAGGGATCCCCACTGTCTCTGGCCATTACTTCCCATCACTTCTGGAGAACTCCACCCGCGGTCAGTTTCCTGAGTCCTGTGGGTGTCCGCGCAGCCCTGGGGGGTGGGGTGGGCCCCGGGGGTGGGCCCTGGGGGGCGGGGCCTGCAGCCGGGCTTCCCCCGCAGGGCTCACCCCTGTCCTGGTCCCTTTGCCGCCTGCAGACCACCATGCCGGGGATGAAGCGGGACTGCGGGGGCGCCGCGGCCGTCTTGGGGGCCTTCAGAGCTGCCATCAAGCAGGTGAGTGAGACTCCACCTACTCCCCCGCAGGCAGGGGCCACCCATGCCCTCTGCTCAGGGCCTGGCTTGGCCCAGGCCGGTGAGTGTGCGATGAAGAAGCTTGGCCTAGGACCACAGGGCACGTGGCAGGTGTAAGCCCACGTGCAGCACATGCGGTTCTGAGTATTCCACCCACAACCCTCCTCCCAAAGCTGTCTCTAGTGAAAGGTCTCGCCAGGGTGACGCCCCCACCCCCAGGCCAGGCCTCTCTCCACCGCACACTGGGCCTCCTCCCTCCCCTGCCTGGGCAGACACCCCAGAGCGCAGTCCTTGCCCAGCGTCTGTGACCACTCGGAGGCTTGGGGGACGTTCACGTGGAGCCCAGACATCCCGGGGCCATAACGAGCGCTTATTAAACAAATGACGAGTGTGCACGGACTTGCACAAGCTGAGGTTTTACCTCCTGGCGTAGCCTTCTCAGGCCAGCTTTTAGGAGGCTGCGCTCGTCGTGGCGCTGAATACAAGATATTCTTTCCACGCAGGCACTGCCTGTGAAGCCCTGTTTCTTGGGGTAAACTTGAAATTGAAAAACAAAAATGTCCTGGCAAATAATTTCCAATTCAGACTGGTTGGGTGTCCAGCGGTACCGCGCCTTGAGAGAGGAGCAGAGCCCGGGGGGAGGGAGCCCCGCCGTCTGCCCGGCCCCCCCACCTGCACTGTGGCTTCCGCCGGCCCACTGTAACCACAGCCGACGGGGACACTGAAGGCGCAGGGGGTGAGATGACTTGGGCAGGATGCTGAGACTGTCTGGAACATCCTTGCTGTGCCCTGCACGGTGCCTTGTTTGGAAAGGGCCTTCCTAGGGCTCACAGACGAGTGTTCCGTCACGCCGAGCACACAGGTGGGGCCGTGCGCTCAGCCCAAGAGCTGCAGGGCTCCCGAAAGCCACAGGCTTCCAAGAGCACCTGTTGTGGCCCATCCACCGCAGAGCCCTGTGGGGAATGTGGAGGAGGAGATCGCGTTCCCTGTGTTCTCATCCCCGTGCTGGCTGGAGACTAACGAGGGACACAGCCAGCAGCGGATGAGGACTCACCTGTCTCAGCACCTCCATGCGCTTAGATTCCCTTTCACAGGAAGCCACGAGGCAGTCAACGCAGACTCGTCAGCTGACAGCCGTGGGGTCTCAGGGCTCCCCCACCTCTGGGGGCTACAGCCTGTGATCTGAGGGGTGCTAAGGACCCCTCCCCGCCTGTTCTAGACAAACCCCCTTCCCACAAGAGCCGCAGCTTGAGGCTTCACTGTTAACAACGATGTCCGGCCTCTAGAAAAGGAATGTGCTTCAGTTTGAGCCACAAAATAAGCAGTATTGTAACCCACAGAATAGAATCAGAATGCGCGCATCCATACTGATAGGAATAAGTCATTAAATGAATAAATAAACAAGGGGAGAACAGTTTCTTACAGCGGAATCGCAATTACTGGATGTAGAAGTAGTGATGGAAATAGAAAATAAAACATAGAAAACTCACCATCTGACAAACACCACGGCCGGTAATTGTTTGAGATAAGAACAGTCAGCGGTGCCAAAGCCGGAGCGTGGAAGCGTGATGGGAGACAGGACCGTTAGATGGTCCAGAGCGCGTCCAAGCAAGGTACCGCCAGTAGCGTCACCGGGGAGACACCTGGCAGACCCACCTTAACACGTTCCAGGGCCCATTGCCGGGGCAGGGACAAAGCCATGCAATGCACCTCCTGCTGCAACGCACCAGGAAGTACATGGCACTTCTGCAGGGTTCCCGCCAAAGATGCATAACCTGAAAGCCACGGGGAAACCCCAGACAAACCCAGCACTGGAAGGGCCAAGGTCACAAAAGACAAAACCAGACTGTGCAAGTGTCTAGACTAAAGAGACTAAGGGGACCCGACAGCTAGTGTGGCGTGTGGCCCGCGTGGAATCCTGCCATCAGTGGGCAGGTGGGATCTGGCAGCACCTGGAGATGTGCCAGTGACAACTCCCCCGTGAAGGGTGTTGGGAATTGTTTGCGGCTACTTTTGTAATTTTTTTTTTACACATTTGAAATCATTTCACAATGAAATGTTTAAAACTTTTCTAGACAGAGAGGACATGCCATCCGTCGACATCAGGGTGTGCTGGGAGCAGGGTGGTACTGGGCTAGGGTGTCAGCAACCCTCTGGTCATCAGGACCCTCCCCAGGCCCCTGCCATTCCCAATCTGTCCCCAAGGCACCGTCCAGCCCCATCTTTGGCCACCCTCCTGGCACGTCCTTCCCTTCCCCGAACCTCTCACGGGTCCCTGGAGCTTCTGCCTGCTTCTCCTTTCAGGGTTTCAAAGACAACCTCCATGCCGTGTTCTGCCTGGCTGAGAACTCAGTGGGACCCAACGCTACGAGGCCCGATGATATCCACCTGCTGTACTCAGGAAAGTAAGGCTGGCCCTCTCCTCCCCAAAACCAGACCCGCCATGCCCTGCTCACCCCAGCACTGCTGGGAGGACCCCCGGGAGCTTTGGTAGCAGGGGACCTCACGATGGGTCACCCTGGGACTTGGATGCAGTGCTGGGCTCGCTTGGGGCGCCGGGCCCCAGGACCTCAGGGTCTATACTGCATCAGTGGGAGCCTTTCCAGCCTCTAGGCCTGACATTCTTTGGGTATCTGAAGCCTTGCTCCCACAAATTCCTGCTTGGGGACCCTCCCTGCATCTCCCCCTTGAGGCTGCCTTGGGCTGCTCCTTCTCAGTGGCAGAAGGACACACTTAAGAATCAAACTTGGGCAGCAGCAAAGGTATAGGGGCCCCGGGACTTAGGACAGGACACCCTGTCCTCCCTGCCCCACACCCTGGTGCCGAGTAGGTACCTCCCCTCCTCATTTACCCAGGGCCAGGCACAGTGCGCCAAATGCCAGCTCAGCCTGGTTCGTGCCACCCACCTTACAGATGTGGAAACTGAGTCCAAGGGGAGCTAAGCACCTTGCCCCAGCTCACAGCTCAAGAGAGCAGGGCGGGGATTTGGCCCAAAAGCCCTTGCCCCCGGCGTGGCATTGCTGCAGGGGTTGTGTGTGCTGGAGTTGGGGGGCCACAGGGATGGGCGGCTCTAGAATGGGACTCCCCAGTTCCACAGGGACTCACCCCAGCATTGCAGGGGACCCCATCCCTGAGCAGGGGTCTCTGTGTGCCCAGGACGGTGGAAATTAACAACACGGACGCCGAGGGCAGGCTGGTGCTGGCAGACGGCGTGTCCTACGCCTGCAAGGACCTGGGGGCCGACATCATCCTGGACATGGCCACGCTGACGGGGGCTCAGGTGAGTGTTGCCACACGCCACCCTGACTGTGGCCCCAGGGAGCTTGAATGCCTCTGGTCCCTATGGTGGGGAAGGCAGGCAGGGTGGGGGCTGCTGTCCCCAGATTCTTAACTGGCTGAGGGGGCAGTGGGGACCATCTGTTGTGCCCATCGAGGGCACCAGTGGCCCAATGGGCCTGGAGCTGGGGCACAGAAGCAGAAACTGTCCTCTGCGCTTGAGAACACGGTTCTCTTTCTTCCTCGCTTTGTTTCTCACCAGCTCTCTTTTGCTTTCCTTGTTTTTCTGTCTGCCTCTCTGTCCCTCTTTTGTGTTTCTCTCCTGCCTTCCCCATTTGGGGTGCTTCCTGGGTCCCTGCCTGGCCAGGGCATCGCCACAGGGAAGTACCACGCCGCAGTGCTCACCAACAGCGCCGAGTGGGAGGCCGCCTGCGTGAAGGCCGGCAGGAAGTGCGGGGACCTGGTGCACCCGCTGGTCTACTGCCCCGAGCTGCACTTCAGCGAGTTCACCTCGGCGGTGGCTGACATGAAGAACTCGGTGGCGGTAGGTCTGGGGCCCGCAGCTGTGCCCTCGCGGGTGGAGCAGGGCACAGGGCCCCCGGGGAGACAGAGCGCCCTGAGAAGCAGCAGCGGCGCTGAGCAGCAGTGTCAGGGCACAGACCCCTTCCCGGGACTGGCCACCCTGCCTCGCAGCCGTGGGTCTGCCTCAGTCTCCCCAGCAGGCTCCTCGCTGGCTCCTAATGCCCTAGGGTGGAAACAAACTCCTTGGCCTGGCTCCTTGCAGACTCCAGGGAGGGGTGGCCGGAGGGTGATGGGGCACGGGTGAGAGTGCAGACCAGCTCCCGCGGGTGCTCCTCGTGGAGCGAAAGGTCACCGTGTGTCCTCTCGGCCTCCCCAGGACCGAGACAATAGTCCCAGCTCCTGTGCTGGCCTCTTCATCGCCTCACACCTTGGCTTCGACTGGCCTGGGGTCTGGGTCCACTTGGACATCGCTGCCCCAGTGCATGCCGTGAGTGTCAGGGCCACCCTCCTGCAGTCCGCCCTGCCCGCCGCCCAGGCTGCTCCCACCGTCCCGTCCACGCAGACCCCCTCCCTGGCCCTGGAGCCGGTGGAGCGCACCAGAAGCATTCCGTATCCCTGGTCCCCGACCTCCGGTTCTGCTTCCTGGGAACAGAGCAGCTGTGCCTGCGGTCCTGGCCACGGCCCCGGGACTCACCCTTCCCCACCAGGAGAGTGGGGGCTGGGCCAGAGCACACAGGGAAGACCCTCACTCCAGCTTGTGCTCCAAGACCCCCTTACTGAGAAGGGAGGAGCCATGGGGCAGGTGGGGGGACCCTGGGGCCCCTCCCACGCAGAGGCCCCACACCCAGAGTTCCCGCCCACCCTTTGCCCACAGGGCGAGCGAGCCACGGGCTTCGGTGTGGCCCTCCTGCTGGCGCTCTTTGGCCGTGCCTCCGAGGACCCTCTGCTGAACCTGGTGTCCCCGCTGGGCTGTGAGGTGGACGTACAGGAGGGGGACACGGGGAGGGACTCGAAGAGACGCAAGCTCGTGTGACGGCCTGGCCGCCACTCGGCCCCCGTGACACAGGGCTCTTTGACCTCACTTTGCACTGATTAATTTTAAGCAATTGAAGATTATCCCTTAAGATGGGTTTTGGTTTGTTTTTTGTTTGTAACTGTGGTGGTGATGGAAATGGCTCGTTCTTATGTCCCAGAAGACAGCTTACGGTTTGGCCGGGGCCAGGGGGATGGGGCCGGGAAGTTGCCAGGAAGTTCTGGGCCTTGTTTCTGCCCCAGCTGTGCTGCCTCCCGGGGCTGGGGCCTCGCCCAGGTCCCGCACGCGCACCCACGCCGCCGCACAGAGCCCAGGCTCTTGCTCCGCCCCTGCCAGGGTCACTGACACATCTAGCCACGGCCCCTTTGAAAGGCGAAGTGACTTATGGCAGGGGCCCCAGTTTATGGAGCACAAGGGGTCATATTCTGGCCCCTCCGAGTTCACTGGAGGCTAAATTAAACGTGGCCACACCACACCTTCGCCTGTCTGGTTCTTTCTCTGATGCTCTGATTTAGAACGAGCCCTGGAGCCACCCTTGGGCCTGAGGCTCGGGGCCACCTCCCCCTTCTCCCAAACTGGCTCCTGCTTTGAGATGCCGCCGGTCAACCCTGTTTTGCAGACAAGAGCCCTGGAGCCCTCAGGTCCAAGCCTGCACTGTTCGGCCCTCTTGGTTTTCTTGGTTTTTGAGGGTGCTGTGGGCTTTGGGGGCCTCCCATGATCCCACAGCCGACAGGAACGGCGGTTCTGACTCCCAGGCCGTGTGTTGTACGAGGCCAAGTGTGTGTCCTCAGCACTGAAGCCGCCGGGCACAGTCGCAGGTGAAGCACAGGAGCCTGCTCCCACCAGTTTGGGTGACAAGTTCTTGTCCCCGCCTCCCTTTGTCCTCAGCCCCAAGGGCGCTAGCTGGGCTCAGAGGACATAGGCACCGGGTCGGGGCGGCTGCCACACCTCTGCTGGGGACGGTGGGCGAGGACTCAGCGGCAGGTCTGCGCCAGCCGCTCCCGGCAGTGCCCTGAGCCCCTGACCTCCTCACCCGCAGGGCCCACAGCCCTGGAAATTAAGGTGATTCTTTCTGGGCCTGATCCCAAGCTAATATTTATTAACTGCCTGCTGTGTGCACAGCCCTGGCTGGGCCTGAAAGGGCAAAAACTGGCTCCAAGGCCCAGCCCTGTCTGAGGAAACCGTGGCCCGACACAATAATAGCAACTGCGGGCAGCAAGAGACTCGGCTCCTGGGCAGAGGGGGCGCGGCCGGGCAGCCCAGAGCCCGCACGGGTCACTGGCTGGCTTAATGGCGCTTCAGTAGGCCACCCTCGCCCACGTCCCTCCGAGACACCCAGAGGAGGCGGAGGTCACCGAGGTGGTCTGGCTCCTTCTCCGAGGCAGCTGGCACCATCTGCTTCCCCACCAGGGGGCTATGCCGCGCGGGCACAGGATACGGGGTCAGGGAGCAGGAGGAACTGAGTCTCCCTTGTGCGGGCACAAAGGCGGCCTCAGGGCCAGGACCCAGCTGCGGACCAGCTGCAGGCTCGGGGTCTGGCCTGCGTGCCCGGCGTCGGGGGTCTGCGGGGTGAGCCAGAGGCCTTGCTTTCCCCAGGGCCAAAGGGCTTTGGGATGCAATGGCTGCTTCCCCTGGCCCTGCCGGAGCCCCGGCAACAGGGTCGCAGGCCGGCCGGTGGTGGGGGGCAGGTGGGCGCTCTCGGGTCCACTGGGTCTTGGTTTCCGGTAAGCGCTACAGGGCAGCAAGCGTGTCAAGCCGCCGCTCCAGCAGGTGGGCCACACCGGGCGGAGAGGCTGCCAAAGTGCTCCCAGGTGAACGTGGCTGCAGCCATCGCCACAGGCACGTGTGGCCCAAGGGCGCTGGGAAGGCAGGTAGCGTCAGGACCCCACCCACACAGCCCCCCGTCTGGAATCCCAGTGCCCACCTGGGGTTGTGTTACCCCGAAGACAGGGACAAGGGACGAGAGGATGAAAATCTCTCTGGGGAAAGGGGTGCGGGGGTGGGATGAGCTTTTCTGGGGCTTGGGGAGCAGCTGGGAGAAAAGGGGGACCCACTCTCGCCATGTTAGAGCAGGGAGCCCTAGATTCAAGCTCCAGGTCCTGGCCACTGCCCCTGTTCTGGTCACAACCTGGCTGCGACTCCTGGATGCCAATCCTGGACCACCCAGCCACCAGGCCATCCTTGGGGGCCTCAGCTGCTGCAACCGGGCCGTGGCGTTGCAGGAGGCCAGCTGTCCACATCCTGCAGCCTGTGGGAGTGGGCTGTGTGAGAGAGGGGTGCAGTCAGCAGCCGGTAGGGAGACCCTGATTCAGGTCCCCAGAACTGAGAGGAGAGCCTCTTCCCGAATGTTAGGACTGTCTGTGTCAGCAAAGGTGGGGAAACCAGGAGAGAGTCACCTTTCAGCCCCAGAGATAGTTGCAAATGCCCCACCACTGTGCAGACCTTGGAAGACCTGGGCCCACTCGAGGTGACCGCATCCGGAGAGCTGCCTCTGACAGGCCGTGATGGATGTTTAGGGAAGCAATGGATTGTCACCTGGCTCCCGAGAGTGCCAGTGGGGCTGAGTGTTGGTCTCTGTGGACTCCACCTCTGGCGAGCGGCCAGGAGACCTTGGCTCAACAGCACCCACCGGGACACGGCCAGCTGTTGCCGACATCCCAGAGCCTGGGGACGAGAAGGGGTCATTTCCCACCATCCACTCTCTGGCCCCTGCTGCCAGGTGGGTTCCAGAAAGTCAGTCTTCACCAAGAGGGAGAAACTCCAGGCCCAGAGCATGTCCCTGTTTGTGCGCGTGACCAGGGCGTGAGTGTGCGTGTGCACCACGGTCTGTGCTTTCCACGGGGACCCCTGAGGGCTGGAGTGTCCTCCAACTCCCCTTCCCTCCCAGTGCTCCCCAGGCCACCTATATACCAACCTGTGTCATTGCACCTTTCTGTGCCATCAAAAATGGTGGCAATAGACTTACTTCAAAGAAGAGACTGGAATGGAATGAAATTGTTTCTGCTGGGCAATGCCGGCAGGCCACTCAGTCATCTTGGAAAGTCCCGCCCCGGCTCCCCTGCAGATTAATTACTCTACGTGCCACTGCAGTCAGGGCCGGTGACACCCAGGAAACCACTGAAGCTGCCCCAGACCATTCCCAGCTAGGGACCCTCACTTAGGCACGCAGGACCCCAAGCCGCCCTCCTTCCTGTAGCAGCCTCCTGCGGCGGCGCCTGTCATCCCAGCAGCTCCCCCACCCCACAGATGCTTGTTGGATTTGCCGCTGTGAGCTCTGCCCCGAGCCTCGGCTCAGACTGTGTTCCCTGGGGAATTAGTGTTAAGCATTTTTGTTTATTCTTTAACAAAAGGTTGTTTTGGTTTGAAATTCAGCAACACACACACTGCATTCTGCTTCCTCTCCATTCAGGATTCAGTAAATTAGTTGTTTTCCCGTCTGCTTCGAGTCCTTGCCTCAAATGAGCCTCCAACAAGATAATACATTGAAAAGCCCTTGGAAAAGTACCAGGCCCCACGCACATGTACGCACATGTACAGCTGCGAGCTCTCGGAAAGCACGGCCTGGAACTCGCAGTGCTCCCGCCCACCCACGGGGGCTCAGCTCCCTGCGAACACCAGTGGACAGGGCTCCTTCCCGAGACCCACCCCATGCCCCCCAGTGCCCAGGCTGGTCCCCAGCACCCAGGCCTGCCAAATACTGATGAGGATGTAGAGAAACTAGGTCACTCACACATTGATAGTGGGAATATGAAGCATTATAGCCAATCTGGAAAACAGTTTGGCAGTTTCTTATGAGATCGAATGCGTAACATGAACCAGCAGTTGCGCTATTGGTCATTAAGTCCAGAGACATGGAAATTTATGTTCATGAAACAAACTGCATGCAAATGTTCACAGTAGCCTTTTTTTGTAATAGCCGCAAAGGAAGCAACCCAGATGCCCTTCGATGGGTGAATGGTGAGACAAATTGTGGTACATCCACGTCAGGGAACACTACGCAGCCATAAAAAGAAAGGAAGAATTGATTTAGGCAACAACTTGGATGGATCACAAGAGAATTATGCTGAGGGGACTTTATCAAAATTAAAGAGTTTTGTTCTTCGAAAGATACTATTAAGAGAAAGACAAATACCACATGACCTCACTTATATGTGGAATCTAGAAAAGTTGAGCTCGTAGAAGCTGAGAGTAGAATGGTGGATATCAGAGGCTGGGGCTGGGGTGGATGGGGAGAGGAGAGATGTTGGTCAAAGGACACAAAGTTTCCGTTAGACAGGAGGAATAAGTTCTGCTGATCTGCTGCACAGCGTGGTGACTATAGTTAACAATGATATGTTCTATATTTCAAAATTGCTAAAAGAGTAGATTTTAAATGTTCTCACCACCAAGAAATGGATGTATGTGAGGCAGTGGATATGTTAATTAGCATGATTTAATCATTTCACATGCATACGTGTATGATAACATCACATTGTACCTCCTAAATAGATACTATTATTATTTGTCAATTAAAAATTAAATTTTAAAAGAAGAAGAAAAAGAACCCCCCAGAACTGTTAAGAAAAGGCAAAAGCAACCCACAATCTGGGAGAAAATATTTGCAAAATACATAATTGATAAAGAACTTTTTTCTATAATATGTGAAGACCTTTTATAATTCATTAGGACAGAAACAAACAACTTAAAAATGGCCTAAAGATGTGACCAGATACTTCACTGGAGAACACAGACAGAGGTCAAATAAGCACATGAAAATGTGCTCAGCATCACCTGTGGGTAGGTAACTGCAATTTCAAGCTGTAAAGTAGTATCATTACACACCCATTAGAATGGCGAAAATGTTTTAAACTGACCATAAAATGTTGTAGAAGACGTGAAGCGACTGCCACTCTCAGACACTGTCGATGAGAACACAGAATTATACGACTGCTTTGGGTAGTTGTTGGGTAGTTGGGTAGTTTTTCTAAAAATAAGTTAAACAAAAACCTACTGTACGATCTAATCATTCTACTTGCAGGTATTTACCCAAGAGAAATGAAAGATTTACCCACACATAGGCTTGCGCATGAATGTCCACGTAGTATTCCTGTAATGGGCAGAAACTGGAA